CCCTGTCCTAGGCTGAACCTGGATCGCACTTCAGGCTAAGGCAGGTGGCCAACCTAGGCTGATCCTTGATCCCTGTCCTAGGCTGAACCTGGATCCCACTTCAGGCTAAGGCAGGTGGCCACCCTAAGCTGACCCTTGATCCTTGTCCCAGGCTGAGCCTGGATCCCACTTCAGGCTAAGGTGGGTGGCCACACTAGGCTGACCCTTGATCTCTATCCCAGGCCAAGCCCAGATCCTGACCCCAGCCTGAGCCTGGATCCCAGCTCCAAGCTGAGCCTGGATCTCTGGGCAAATCTGAGACACTTGCTAGGATTCGCAGGGCTGGATCGGAGTGGTGCTAAGCCCATCCGTAGTCAGACCACCATTCCAGTGAGACCCAGCACTGCCTGTCCTGGTGACCTGCCCCCCACGGACCCAGAAACCCAGGGCCATGTCTGAAGGCAAGCCACGTCTCTGCTTTCAGCCTGACCTGCTCGTCCCCGTTCGCTGGTGAGAGTGACCGAGCCACCCTCCTGAACGTGCTGGAGGGGCGGGTGTCCTGGAGCAGCCCAATGGCTGCCCACCTCAGCAAGGATGCCCAAGACTTTATCAAGGCTGCCCTGCAGAGGGCCCCAGAGTGAGTGCACACAGCCCTTCCCCTGCCCAGGGTCCTCATCGCCTGTCCCGGGGGCCAGCTGACCCCTGGCCTGACCCCGGCCTTCCTCTCCCGCAGGGCTCGCCCCAGTGCCTCCAGGTGCCTCGCCCACTCCTGGTTCCTGGTGAGTCGGCTGAGCACGGGCAGGCCTGGTGCTCAGGGAGGGAAACAGGCCAAGAGGGGCAGGGGACCTGCCTGGGCCATGGGGCGCATCCGGGTCTCCCCCTGACGTGGCTTTTCTCCTGGGCGCCCCAGAAGTCCCTGCCCGCTGAGGAGGCCCACTTCATCAACACCAAGCAGCTGAAGTTCCTCCTGGCCCGCAGCCGCTGGCAGGTGAGCCGTGCTGCGCGGGAGGGGAGGAGGGGGATGCTGTGTGTCCCGCGGGCCTGGGAGAGTGGGAAGCCGGGCTGGGCGTCCTCTGTGCGGGGTCTGCTCTTGCTGAGCCGAGGGGGACGGGGTGCGTGCCCCGTGCAACGTCCCAGGCAGGGTGAGGACAGACAGACGGAGCCCTGAGGAGGACCGGGCTTTTATCCACCACCCCGACCCGTCTCCTGAGTCTCCCGGCTGGGCCCCCAGGAGCCGGGAGGGCAGTGGCACCCGGCTGATGGCGGTTCCCGCACCCCCAGCGCTCCCTGATGAGCTACAAGTCCATCCTGGTGATGCGCTCCATCCCCGAGCTGCTCCAGGGCCCACCGGACAGCCCGTCCCTCGGGGTGGCCCGGCACCTGTGCAGTCAGGCCAGCGCCTCCTCCAGCAGCTCTTCCTCCTCCTCGGACAACGAGCTGGCGCCCTTCGCCCGGGCCAAGTCGCTACCGCCCTCCCCAGTGACCCACTCCCCGCTGCTGCACCCCCGGGGCTTCCTGCGGCCGTCGGCCAGCCTACCCGAGGAGGCCGAGGCCTGCCCGCCCGCCGAGGCTGCGCCCCTGCCCGCCTCAGCCCAGGGCACAGAGCCGCCGGCCGCCCCGGGCTGCGTGCCTCGGCAGAGCGTCATCCGCAGCCTGTTCTACCAGCAGGCGGGCGAGGGCCCGGAGCGCGGGGGCCCGGCCGCAGGTGGCAGGCGGCACCCGGCCCGGCGGCGGCACCTGCTCAAGGGCGGCTACTTCGCCAGCGCCCTGCCTGGCCTGCGTGAGCCGCTGCTGGAGCACCGCGCGCTAGAGGAGGCGGCTGCCCAGGAGGAGCAGGCCGCCATGCTGGCCAAAGCGCCCTCCTTCGAGACGGCCCTGCGGTTGCCCGGTGCCAGCACCCGAGGGGCCCCTAGCCGCAGCCGCTCCCTGGACCTCGACCGGCCCCACGCCGCCAGCCTGTCTACCGAGTCCTGCCCAGAGGAACAGTGTCCCACCCCCACCCCTGCCACCACCACCACCCACTCGGGCCTCCTGGAGGCCCCAGGGCAGGGCTCGCCCCAAAGGGGTGCCTGTGGCAGGGAGAGGGAGCGTCCAGAGGGGTCCCTGCAGGGGCCGAGACTGTTTCCCTCCACCAGTGGCGATGTAGCCCCCACTCAGCAAGAAGGGTGGTCCCAGGACAGCTGTGGGGGGCAGCAGGACCCTTTCTTTCACCCCCAGTGGGGTCCTGCCCCCCGGGAGGGCTGCAGGCCCCCCACGGCTGTTGCACCACAAACTCCTGGCTCCTTGCCTCCGGGGCCGGGCCTGGAGGCCCTGTCCACACCCCCAAGCCCCTTCCTTTCAGGGGAGCCTCAGGCCCCCCCTTCCCCAGCCCGAGCAAGCCCCCAGCCAGGCTCTAAGAAGGGGCTGGAGAACACTCCTCTCCCCGGGAGGCTGGGCCCCCCCAGCTCCCCAGGGCCAGCCTCTGCAGTGGGCTTGGAGCCCGGACTCACCCCGGACGCCGAGGACCTGGCCCAGGAGGCAGAAGACCTCTCTGACTCTGAGCTTAGCACACAGCGGCCTCAGGAGCAGGCGACCACCCGGAAGTTCTCCCTGGGGCAGCACGGGGGCTACGCGGGGGTGGCCGGCTATGGCACCTTTGCCTTTGGTGGGGACGCGGGGGGCATGCTGGGGCAGGGCCCCCTGTGGGCCAGGATGGCCTGGGCCACCTCTCAGTCCTCGGAAGAGCAGGATGAGGGGGAGGCCAGCGCGGCGCCCCCGCCCGAGGGCGGCAGGGCTCCCCCGAGGGCCTCCCCGGAGCTGACCTTGTGGGAGGGCGTCGGCGGGGGCTCCCAGGTGTCACTCGTGCAGATCCGGGACTTGTCGGGTGACTTGGAGGCGGCCGACACTGTGTCCCTGGACATCTCGGAGGTGGAGCCCGCCTACCTCAACCTGTCGGACCTCTACGACATCAAGTACCTCCCGTTCGAGTTCATGATCTTCAGGAAGGTCCCCAGGCCACAGCCGCCACCCTCCCCCGCGTCGGAGGCCGGGGAGGAGCTGGCGGAGCTCCCAGAGGCCACGTGGCCCTGGCCTGGCACGCTGGGCCCGCCAGCCAGCCTAGAGATCACAGAGGGGCTGGAGGACACGGAGGCCCTGCTCTGGGAGGCTGCCAGCAGCAGGAGGCGCAAGGGGTCGCCTCCCTCAGGTGGTCTCCTCCACTTGCCCGGGAGGCGCGTGGAGCTGGAGGAGCCCACAGAGCTGGGGTTGCGCCGGAGGGTGAGGGCCTCCGTGGCCCACATCTCCCGCCTCCTGAGGGGCAGGCCCGAAGGTGACTCCCCCTACCACCCCGCCCCTGCCCCAGGTCTGGGCACGTCCAGGTGTCCCTGCTCTGCGCCTTGCAGCGCCTCGCCTCTCCCATGCTCAGGAGCCCGCCTGACGCAGGGAGCCCCCCTGGAGCCCCCACTGCCCTCCTCTGGCCGGGCACACCCCAGCCTTTGTTCCCTAGGCCACCTCTCGGCCTCTGCAACCAGCCCTGGGACCCAACACGGGGAGGCTTGGTGACGCCCCGCCCTTTGGAGTGGGAAGTGGGCTGGCCCTCCCTGACCTCGACCCCTGGGTCCTCACTGACTCCAGACCCTCCCTGACCCCACGTGACCCAGAGCCCTTGGCCAGGCCTCCCCAGACACCTGTGGTCCCCAAGCTGCCAGCCTTACTTGCCCAGGTGTCCCCGCCTGACGGGCTGCTCTGATGGGCAGGGAGGGTGGTCTTCATGGTGGACTTAGCTCCAGTTCCCAACAAAACCCCTGGGACCCGAGCAGTGGGTAGCAGGTGGCTGCAGTCTTGCTCTCATGTTCCTGGCGCAGTGCCAGGCAGCTGGCTGCCCAGAGGGGCCGGCCCCTCGGTGTGACTTCCCACGGCCCTGTCCTCTCTGCAGGTCCTGAGGAGAGCCCCCCCAGGAAGAAGGCAGGCCTAGCTTCTTTCCGGCTGTCAGGCCTGAAGAGCAGGGACCGAGGTGGCTGCTGCCCAGGGGACCTGGCCGTCGGGGAGGGAAGCCCCTTCCTAGGTGCCCAGACCAGCAGGGGCGGGCAAACTCACACCGACGGGAGCTCTATCCCAGACAGGGGCCTCCGGCACCCCAGCTTTTGAGGGCTAGCAGTCTCAGAGGTCTTCCTGGAGGAGGCGCTGATGTTGAAGATGAGCTGGGTGGGAGGGGCGCTCATCTTCAGTGTCCCCACCGTGGGGTCCAGGCTTCACTCTCGGGCTGGGGGTGACCTCTGAAGGCTCACCTTGCCTCCCTTCCCCAGCGCCATCATTCCTAAGGGAGCTGGCAGATGAAACAGTGGTCCTGGGCCAGTCTGTGACTCTTGCCTGCCAGGTGTCGGCCCAGCCAGCTGCACAGGCCACCTGGAGTAAAGGTGAGGAGCTGTCCTGGGCCGGGGGCGCTTGTGGAGGGCATCGCTCTCAATGTAGAGGGAAACTGAGGCCCGGGGAGGGCGTGGGGCCACGGGTAGTCAGGGCCGCCCCCTGGGCCCACTCTGACCTGCTCTGCTACAGACGGGGCCGTCCTGGAGAGCAGCAGCCGCCTCCTCATCTCCTCTACGCGCAAGAACTTCCAGCTTCTGACCATCCTGGTGGTGACGGCAGAGGACCTGGGCTTGTACACCTGCAGCGTGCGCAACCGGCTGGGCATGGCGGCCACCACAGCCGTGCTACGGAAGGCAGGTGGGTGGGCCGAGCAGGGCCATCGTAGTGGAACGGGGCGAGGGGTCACCCGCGTCTGTTGCCTCCACCTGGAGGTTTCTGCCAGGCCCGTGGAGGCTGTGGGGGGCGGCCTGAGCCAGCTCTGCAGACCGGGCCCTCTGGCTGGGGTAGCAGGAGGCAGGGCGAGCCCGCTGGCCAGGCCCTCTCTGACCCCTCCGCCGGGCTCCTCCCCTTGCGCTTCCCACGGTACCTCCGGCCCATCCGTCCCTCCAGCAGATGCAGGAGGAGGTTGTATCTCTACTCGTCAAGCCGAGATCTCAAAACATAGTGCCGGGTGTGTTTCTGGGGGAGCCAAGACGGGGGCTGTGGGCCTAGCTCTCAGACTCCTGATCCCCAGGGTGGGGCCGGCCCTCGGGCGGCCAACCCCAGAAGCCTGGCAAAGCTGAGCAGCCAGGGCAGGCCCCTCTGACCTGGGGCGGGTGGGGGGCTGTGAGCGAAGGCCACTCCACGGGGCTCCTGGGCATGCAGTGGTGGGAGGGGAGCCTGGTGGGGTCGGCAGAGCAGACACCTCCTGAGGCCCCCACCAGGAGAGGCACTGGGCCCCTCCTGCCTGTCAGCATGGAAAGGGACCCCTGAATGAACGGGACTGGGGGGCCTGGCAGCAGGGTGGGTGAGGCACGGCCAGCGGGGCTCAGAGCTGCTTCGGATGGTCCCTGGGAGCCTACATCAGACCCTGATCGTGGGCCTTGCAGAGCTCCCTGCGTGCTCCCCGCGTCCGGACATCGGGGAGGTGTACGAGGACGGGGTGCTACTGGTCTGGAAGCCCGTGGAGGCGCATGGCCCCGTGACCTACACTGTGCAGTGCAGCCTGGAAGGTAGGGCCGCCCCCCTGCCCTAGCCTCCTGGGGGCCCCCGGGGCCCGTGGGGGCGGTGCTTAGGGGAAGTGCCAGCCTGCTGAGTGTCCTGGACACCCATCAGGGAGTGACCTGGCCCCTCCGTGCCCCCGGCGGCTTCCATGGGGCGGTGTCTCTCCACCTCTAACTGGGGTGGGGGCCTCTGGCTGCCCCACACCGCCCGCTCCGTGTGCCCAGGTGGCAGCTGGAGCACACTGGCCTCTGACATCTTCGACTGCTGCTACCTCGCTGGCAAGCTTGCTCGGGGCGGCTTGTACACCTTCCGGACGGCCTGCGTCAGCAAGGCGGGCATGGGCCCCTTCAGCAGCCCCTCGGAGCAGGTCCTCCTGGGAGGGCCCAGCCACCTGGGTGAGCCGCTCCGCGGGGCCTGGTAGGGCGGGAGGGGGCCCTGAGAGACCACACGCCGCTTGACATGTACCCCCTCAGGATGGTTTGTTCTGCCTGCTGTGCCCCCCCAAATGGCCGAGGGATGAGGTCAAGTGTGGGGGGTTCAAAGAGGGGCCCTTGTCAGGGCGATGGGAGACACGGTGGGGGAGCTGGGGCTGCAGGCCCCAGTCACCACTTCCCTCCCACAGCCTCTGAGGAGGAGAGCAGCCCTGCTCGGCCAGCCCAGCCCCTGCCCAGCACGCAGACCTTCGCCTTCCAGACACAGATCCGAAGGTGCGAGGCCTTGGGGGACAGCGGGTGGGCGGTGCCACAGCCTCCCTGACCCCTGGCTCTTCGAGCTCCTACCCCAGCCTCAGCTTCCCTGCCCAGGTGTGGTCCCCAGGTGTGGTCCAGAGCATCTGGCGCCCCTCTGGGAAGGGTCTGGTCACCTCCCACTGGGCTTCCTCCCAGCTGTTCCAGAGCGGGAAGGAGGGGAGAGCTGCAGGAGGGTGGTGGGGACCTGGGTGTGCCGGCAGGGCCACCTCACGAGCCTGGCCGGTGCTTCCTCACCAGGGGCCGCTTCAGTGTGGTGCGGCAGTGCCAGGAGAAGGCCAGCGGACTTTTGCTGGCCGCCAAGATCGTGCCCTACCGCCCTGAGGACAGAACGGCCGTGCTCCGGGAATACGAGGCGCTCAAGGGCCTGCGCCACCCACACCTGGCCCAGCTGCAGGCCGCCTACCTCAGCCCCCGGCACCTGGTCCTCATCTTGGAGCTGTGCTCTGGGCCGGAGCTGCTCCCCTGCCTGGCAGAGAGGTGAGGAAGGGGCCCGCCCGGCCTAGAGGTGGGGCTCAGGGTGCATCTCGGCCCTGCCTCCAGCGGCCCGGCCACAGGGGGGACTCAGCAAAATCCCGGGGCCACTCCCAAACCCCCTCTGCAGTGGACAGAGCCAAGCCCCCTCCCCAGGTGCTCCCCCTCGGCCTGGGCTGAACCATCCTCTGCCCCCAGGACCTCCTACTCGGAGTCGGAGGTGAAGGACTACTTGTGGCAGATGCTGAGTGCCGCCCAGTACCTGCACGCCCAGCGCATCCTGCACCTGGACCTCAGGTCCGAGAACATGATCGTGACTGAGTACAACCTGCTCAAAGTAGTTGACTTGGGCAATGCCCAGAGCCTCGCGCAGGAGAGGGTCCTGCCCTCCGAGGGGTTCAAGGACTACCTGGAGACCATGGGTGAGCTGGGCGCAGACGCTGGGCCTGACCTGGGGAGGGGCAGGCCAGGAACAAGCCCCTCCCCAGTCCTGCCTCCTGCCTCGCTCCACTGCAGGCACTCAGCCCCTCACTGGCGCCCCTCTTGTGCCCCGCCCCCCAGCTCCAGAGCTCCTGGAGGGCCAGGGTGCGGTCCCACAGACCGACATCTGGGCCATAGGCGTGACGGCCTTCATCATGTGAGTCCTCCAGCGCTGGGGGGGCTGGGTGGGAGGGCGGTCCCAGGATCCATGGAAGGAGACCCCAGAGCCCTGTGTCCTCCCATCCATCGAGGGTGACACCAGAGCCCCGAATCCGCCATCCATCAAAGGAGACCCCAGAGCCCTGTGTCCTCCCATCCATCAAGGGTCACCCCAGAGGCCTGCATCCCCCATCCATGGAAGGAGACCCCAGAGCCCTCGTGTCCTCCATCCGAGGGTGACACCAGAGCCTCATGTCCCCCCATCTATCAAAGGAGACCCCAGAGCCCCATGTCCTCCCATCCATCAAAGGAGACCCCAGAGTCCTGTGTCCTCCCATCCATCGAGGGTGACCGCAGAATCCCCCGTGTCCCCCATTCATCCAGGGTGGCCCTAGAATCCCCCGTGTCCCCCATTCACCGAGGGTGACCCCAGAATCCCCCGTCCCCCATCCATCGAGGGTGACTTGAGTCCCCTGACCTCCACCCCCAGGCTGAGCGCCGAGTACCCGGTGAGCAGCGAGGGGACGCGCGACCTGCAGAAGGGCCTGCGCAAGGGGCTCATCCGGCTGGGCCGTTGCTACGCGGGGCTGTCCGGGGGCGCAGTGGCCTTCCTACGGAGCACTCTGTGCGCGCACCCCTGGTAAGGCTGGCCCCGCCCCGCCCCCTGCCCGCGCGCCCCGCCCGTCTCTCCCACCCCTCCGTCCTGCCCGGTCCGACCCCAGCTTCCGGAGCGTGGCTGACGCCGGCTCCCGTGCTCCAGGGGCCGGCCGTGCGCGTCCAGCTGTCTGCAGTGCCCGTGGCTGACGGAGGAGGGCCCGGCCCGCTCCCAGCCCGCGTCCGTGACCTTCCCCACGGCGCGTCTGCGCGCTTGCGTGCGCGAGCGCGAGAAGAGGCGGGCGCTGCTGTACAGGAAGCACCGCCTGGCCCAGGTGCGCTGAGGCCAGGCCCCGCCGAGCGGGGGTGTTGTCGGGGTCGCCCTGCTCTGCCGCGCCTCAGCCTCTTCTCCAGGATTCTCTGCATATGCCCAGACACGCCAATAAAAAGCAGAACCGAACGAGTCATCTGTTTCATTGTTTTATTTGCGCGGGGAGGTGAGGGTCCTACCGCATTCCTGGGGTTTGAGGGGCCGTCCAGGCAGCAGAACTGCCCTTCCCTGTGGACCGGGTGGCCTGAAGCGTCCTGGTTCCTGGGCTGCAGGAGTCGGAGCCTGTCAGGGGAGCCTCACTTTCAGTGACCAGTTGGTCCTGGCTTTCAAACAGAAGCCCCTTCAGTCCCGGGCAAACTAGGACAGTTGGTGCCCAGCCTCACCCCACACACGGGCCTCTGAGGCACCTGCGCTGGGGCTCCCGGGTGCTCCAAGGTGCATGGGTGGAAAACCATAGCCTGGCTCCCACAGTGACCTCCCTGGCCTGGCATGGCCTCCAGGACCGGCCACGGCAGCCCTTTCTGGGTCTGAGGCAGAAGGAGCCTGGTGAGTGACCGGCCAGGCCACCCAGAGGGAGGAGAGAGGTGGCGTCTGAGCTACGGGGGGCGCCTAAGAAGCTGCTGCAGGAGCCCGACCCGGAGCCCCGATTCTGCCCCACCCAGCTCCCGCCGCCCTCGCGGGGAAATCCCGGCAGGGAGGAGCGCGTGGTCTGAGGCTGCGTGTGCACAGCCTGCCTTGTTTCGTGCCGGCTGGCTCTAACTCCGACGTTACGAGCCGTCTCCCACCAACACCAGTGCTCCCTTCTGGGACGAGCACACAGCACCCAGGGACTGCCTCTGAGCCCTCGCTGGGCGTCCCTCAAAGGGCACCTTTCTGTATCCCTGGCCACTCCTGTTCAGACACGTGGTGGCACACTTGCAGTCTCGCCCAGGTGGTGCCCTGTGGCACCTGTGTCCAAGCCCACTCCCTCCTGTGGGAGGCTGTGTCCACTCCGGCCTGGCTCTGCCTGCTGGGACCCAGGGACGACTCCCAGCTGCCTGTCTGCGGGGCCACGCTTCTTCGGTAACCTCCTCTGCGCTGTGTGCTGGGGTGACCTGTCCTTGTCTAGGCTTGCTGTCCTTGTCTAGGCTTGCTCACATCGAATTTTGCAGGTTCGGCTCGGCTCCGCCTCCTACACGTTGAGAGACACTTGCTGGGACTGCAGAGAGGTGGCGCCTCCTCCAGAACCCTCCGCGAGCTCGGCAGAGCTCGCACGGGTCTGCGCTGGGGGAGGCCTCGCTTATCTGCAGGCCCGCTCTCCTGGCGAGTTCTGGTTGTTGCTCTGTGCAAGTGCCACTCGGGAGCGGCCAGTGCCTGCGCCAAGCCCCACCCTGGACTCACCCTCCTGACGTCCTAGGCCGCATCGCCGCCTGTTCCTGCCATGAGTCTCTCCTCCTCCTCACTCGGGTTGGCACTTTTCCCAGGCTGAACCCACTCAGCCCTGAAGTCCCTCTGTTTATGTGTTATGGGAATTTTATTGGTAGGTTGTTTCTAAAGATCAAGTCTAATGTACCGAATTTTTTAAACAGTTGCATCATATTTTATTATATGGTAACTTTTTCAATTAAGCTTTTTATTTTGAGATCATTGTTGAATCACATGCAGTGGAAAGAAAGAATACAGAGAGAGCCCAGGTACCATTTACCGACTTTCCCCAACGGTAATATCTCCCAGAACGGTAATACAATGACAACCAGCATATTGACGCAGACACACTCAAGGTGCAGAAGATTTCCAGTGCAGGGACCCCTTGTGTTACCCTTTTTCACAACCACACTTCCTTCCTTCCCATCCTTAACACTCCTTAACCCTGGCAACACTTATGTACTTTTGTCATTTTAAGAATGTTATATAAATAGAATAATCCTGTATGTAACCTTTGGAGACTGGCTTTTTTTCACTTGGCATAGTTCTCCGGCACTTCATGACTCTAGCTGCGTGTGTCAACAGTTCACTCCTTTTATTGGTGAGCACAGTTCCATGGTGTGGATGACCACAATTTGTTAGCCATTCACCCACTGAAGGACATTCGGGTTGCCCCCAGTGTTTGGCTCTTCCAGATAAAGCTGCCATAAACATTTGTGTACAGATTTGCATGTGACCGCAAGTCTTCATTACTCTGGGGTAGATGCCCAGGAATGCCGTTCCTGCAAAGTGTTGTTTCATCCACCATCCGCGTGTCCTCTGGGGTGAAATATCTGCTCTTGTCTTTCACCCGTTTTCTAGTTAGACTGTTTACTTCCCGCTGAGTTTGAGAGTTCTGCAGATACTCTGGATTCTAGTCCTTCATCAGATACATGGTTTACAAGTATTGTCTCCCACTTTGTACCTTGTCTTTTCGCTTTCTTAGCAGGGTTTTTGGAAGTGCAAAAGTTTTAATTAAAAAAATTTTTAAAAGCACTTTTAATTGTGGTGAAACACATATAACATAAAATGCACCACTTTTAAGTGTGCAGTTCAATATTATTAATTACGTGCACATTATTGTGCAACCATCACCACCAACCGTCTCCAGAACTGTTTCATCTTGTAAAACTAAAACTCTGCCCCCATTAAACAACAACTCCCCACTTCCCCTTCCCCCCAGCCCCTGGTAACCACCACTCTACATTCTGTCTCTATGAATTTCACTGCTCTAATACCTCAAAAACTGGAATCATACTGTATCATCTTTCTGTCTGGCTTCTTTCACTCGGCATCATGACCTCGAGGTTCAACCCTGCTGTAGCACATGTGAGACTCTCCTTCCTTTCTAAGGCTGACTAATATTCCACTGTATGTGTGTACCATATTTTCTTTATCCATTCATCTGTCAAAGGACATTTGAGTTGCTTCCACCTCAAGCAAATATTGTGAATAATGCTGCAATGAATGTGGGTGTGCAAATATCTCTTTGAGGTTCTGCTTTGAATTCTCTTGGGTATATTATCAGAAGTGAGATTTTTGGATAATATGGTAATTCTATTTTTAATTTTTTGAGGAACTGCCATATTGTTTTCCATAGTGGCTGCACCATTTTACATTCGCGTTAACAGAGTACAAGGGTTCCCATTTCCCCACATCCTCATGGACATTGAGGATGTTATTTTGTTTTTCTGTCATTGTTATTTTCTGTTTTTTTAATGGTAGTCATCCTGATGGGTGTGAGGTGCTATCTTATTGTGGTTTTGATTTGCATTTCCCTAATGATTAGTGATGCTGAGCATCTTTTCATGTACTTGTCGGTCATTTGTGTGTCTTCTTCAGAGAAATGTCTATTCAAGTCCCGTGTCCATTTTCTAATTGAGTTATTTATTTTCTTGTTGTCGAGTTGTAGGAGTTCTTTATATATGCTGGATATTAACCCCTTATCAAATATATAACTTACAAGTATTTTCTCCCCTTCTATAGGATGTCTTTTCACTTTGTTGATTTTGTCCTTTGATGGAAAGAAGTTTTTAATTTTGATATAGTCCAATAATTTATTTTTACTTTTGTTGCCTGCAAAAAGTTTTTAAGTTTTATAAAGTCAAATTTATCAATTTTTCCTTTATGGTTCATGCTTTTGGTGTCAATTCTAAGAACTCTGTACTTATCCCAAATCCTGAAGATTTTCTATGATTTTTTCCTAAAACATAATTGTATATTTACAATTGAACATTTTATATTTAAGTCCACCATCCACTTTGAGTTAATTTTTTTGTGTGAGGTGTGAGCCTTAGCTTGCGGTTCCTTACTCTTTGCCTGTGGACGTCCAGTTGCTCTGGCACCACTGCTGAAGAGGCTCCCTTTCCTCCATTGCTTTTGCGCCTTTGTGAAAAATTAGTTGGGCATTTATGTAGGTCTGTTTCCGGGCTCTCTGTTCTAGTCCATTGATCTATGTGTCTATCTCTCCATAAATAGCACATAGTCTCGATTACTTTAGCTACGTAGTAACCCTTAATATCAGGTAGTAAGTGGTTCCTCCCAATTTATTCTCTTTCAAAATTGTCTAACTATTCTAGCTCCTTTGCATTTCCATATAAATTTTAGAATAATCTTATCTATACATACAAAAAATATTGCTGGGATTTTGATAAGAATTGTGTTAAATCTGTATACCAATTTGGGCAGAATTGACATTTTTACTGTGTTGAATCTTTCAATCTATGAACATGGTATGTCTCTCCATTTATTTAGGTCTTCTTTGATTTCTTTCATCATAGTTTTGTAATGTTTAGCATAGAGATCACAAAATTTTGTTAGAGTCAATTTTGTAAATGGTACTGTATTTTCAATTTCGGTGTCCACATGTTCCTTGCTAGCATACACAAACACAATTGATTTTTGTATGTTTATCTCATATCCCATGAACCTGCTGAATTCATTTAGTTCTAGGAGGTTTATTTTTGTAGATTCCTTGGGATCTTCTCTGTCAACAATCATGTCATTTGCAATTAAAGACAATTTCATTCTGTATGCATTTTATTTTCTTTCTTCCTTTATTGCACTGGCTGGAACTTCCAGTAACATGTTGCAAAAAGTGGTGAGAATGGTTTTGGTTTATTCATAGTGTTTTTTTTTTTTTTTTAAAGATTTTATTTATTCAGTTTTTTCCCCCCAAAGCCCCAGTAGATAGTTGTACGTC